TTTTGTACTTGGACCTCAAGTCAGCAATCTAGGAAAACAAACAAAAATATCCCAACCGTTCATTGCACAAGGCTCTCTGGGCTTTGAAACTTTTGTTTTGGATTGTTTTTCAGTCTCTTGAGACACCCAGGCTGGTCTGTCCACTGCGTGGGGCCAAGTGATCCTCCCACCTGGGCCTCCAGAGCAGCTGGGACTTCAGGCACGTTCCACCAAGGGGAGCTTGGTTGCAACTAAGTATCATCAATGCCTGAGTGACTGCTGTGAGCAAAGTGAAGCGTCCATGTCAACCTAAAGCCTTGTATGTGTTATGCCCAGATCGCAGGGACCCCCAAAAGACCACCACGGAGACAGAATCCCGCATGTAAAAGCAAAGAGCCTTTTTATTTCAAGTTCCAGAGCTTGGTCCCTCTGTCTGTCTGACACAGGGGTGAGAGCAGAGAGCCCTGAGCTCAGGTGGGCAGAGTTTTTATCACAGCAGAGGGTGGGGTGAGGGGATTTCCAGGGTCCAGGGCCCTGATTGGCTGACAATTGTCTGGGGTTATTTGTATAACAAAAAATAGGTGTGTGCTAGACTCAAGGGCATCTGGCCACCTTATCTAATGGTTAGAATGTTTGGGTACTTCCTCATCCCTGGTGGATCCCTGGGTGGTATCAGCTTAAGGCTTTTCCTGGATCTGGGTGTTGCCTGCAGTAAGCCTGTCACAGAAGCTGTGTCTAGGCCCCTAAGCCTGTCATGGCTGCTGTGTGGTCAAGCTATTTTGGGGCCCCTTCACAGTATGGAGGTCTAGTAAAGAGCCTGGGCCATGTGCTCGCCCTACATGTACAAAGCCTTCAGTTTGATCCACAACACCACAGGGTCTAGGCGTGGTGGTACACACTTGTAATCCCAGCACTCAAGAGTAGAGGTCATCTTCAGCTACATAAAGAGTTCAAGGCCAGCCTGGGCTACTTGAGACCCTGTCTGAAAACAAAACAAACAATATCCCCACCTGGTCCTGAGCTTCACAGTGATGCAACTACTCTGATAAATAACTGAAGATTCTTCTAGAAGAACCTGTTTTCATAGCTCCCTTTACTCTTGGTGCTAGTATGGCGTTCATAGATGTTATTGTTGGTTAAACGGCACACTGCACGTGGTTGGCCGCAGCCCGCAGCAGCCATGCTGGCGGCAGAGAAGAGTGCTGATCAGAAGAATCACAGGCCACCGCGTGGTAGTGGTGTACGCCTTTAATCCCAGCACTTGGGAGGCAGAGCAGTCAGATCTCTGTGAGTTCGAGGCCAGCCTGGTCTACAGAGTGAGTTCCAGGAAAGGCGCAAAGATACACAGATAAACCCTGTCTGGAAAAACCAAAAAAAGAAGAAGAAGAAGAAGAAGAAGAAGAAGAAGAAGAAGAAGAAGAAGAAGAAGAAGAAGAAGAAGAAGAATCATCACAGGCCATGGTTACCTTTTTAGAGCTTTATTGTGGGGGGGGGCGCGGGACAGATGGAAGGAGAGAGCGGAAAGCGGGGGGCACACAGAAGGCCTACCTGCTTTTCAGGATGGTGACATAATTAAGGAAAGAATCCTTACAGTTATTCTCACAAATGACAACTTTGATTCAGTTTAGTTATTCGTTCGCATTAAATTCCAGTGGTGGTTGGAAACATTTCTGAATTGTATGGAGTTGTGGGTTCCCCTGTAGGAACCCTGGTTCTGTCTTAAGCAGTACCTGTGGAGCCCAGAAGACTTGACAGAAGGAGCCCGTAACAGTGTCTGGTTTAGTTACTAAGTCTAGTTCTAGTTCAAGATGACTAATGGTATTATCAATTCTGTCTTTTTTTTTTTTTTTTTTTTTTTAATCCATTTTAGGGCAAAAAGTTTGCAACTTACGTAGTTGCTTCAGGACTTCAGTATGGAGTGGAAGGAGGGATCCTACACGCCTTTTTTAAGGTCTGGCTTTTCAATGACTATGAGAACTCTTTGTTGTTGTTGTTGTTGTTGTTATTCATTTAATTTCACTTTCAAGGTAGCTTTCAAGGTAGCAGTTTCCTCACCCCATATCCCTGCCCTCATCCTCACTTAAGACCTAAGACTCTGTGGGTTCTTTGTGGTTGTCGTTTGATTTATTATTATTATACGTGTGTGTGTGTGTGTGTGTGTGTGTGTGTGCTCGCGCCGTGTGTGTCGGGGCCTGCGCATGCCGCAGCTCCAGTGTGGGGGTCAGAGGACCGCTTTGTGGAGTGTCTGTGCCACCAGTGTTTACCTGCTGAGTCATCTCATCAGCCACTGTGTGTATCTCAAACAGTGCTGTTCAAGGCAGGTGTGCTGATAGGACTCAGCAGGCAGGAGGATTGAGAGTTCGAGGCCAGCCTAGGATATAATGTAAAACCCTGTCACAGGAGAGGAGAAGAGAGGAGAGAAGAGGAGGGGAGGGGAGGAGAAGAAAGGGGAGGAGAGGAAAGGGGTGAGTTCAATTCCCAGTGTGTGGTCGAAGGAGAGAACCAATTCCCACAGATTAGCCTGACTTCCACACTAGTACTTTGGCACACGTGGTTGTTTTTCTCTCTCTCTCATACACACACACACACACACACAATAAAAAAAAATTTAATGTAAGGAGAAAGTTCATAAGCAGATCTGGCTGTCTTCACAAATTTGTTTTATTGAGATAAAAGGCGAAAAAGTTAAAAACCAGTCAAGGAGGAGATGCAGCCTGGATCTCTGCTATGGCCTTGGAGGCAGTCAGCATAAGGAATGCATCTAAACCATGGGCCTGGCTACCTCACCTGGAGAGGCCACGTGGACAAGGGAAGAGGATTGGGAATGGGGTCTGAGGACACAGGGAGATGGGAGAGAAGACCCAGGAGGGAAATGGGGAAAGATTGTACACGGTGAAGATCCATCCAGAAATAAGAGTTTCCTGTTAGCTCACGTATTGCAGATCATTAAGATGAGGTCTAACAGTTGACAAGCAGATTCTTCTGGGGCTGCGAGGACAAAAGTTTGAGAAAGAGAGATCCAAGAGGGACAGCCAGAGGCCGGCCATGGTGGCCCTTCCGGAGCCCTCTGACTGAGGTGGATAGGGGTGTGAGGGAGAAACATGCCAGGGCAAACGCTCCTGCTTGTCTCTCTTTCAGATGGCTTGGCTGGGCGAGATTCCTGCACTCCCTGTTTTTGGAGATGGATCCAACGTCATTCCAGCCATTCATATTCTTGATCTGGCAGGGTAAGAGGCCTCCCGGAAGTGTGACTGTCCTGGGTGATTAATATGTGTAATTAATCTTCAAAGTCATAGTGCCCAGACCCTCACATATACCGTTGAATTCATTCCTCACGGGCCCCATGCAGAAGGCACTTAGCACCACCATTTTGTGCCGGATGAGACATTGCCCACCCAAAGTCTCCACACTTCTGATCACACTCATGGCTTCATCTCTTAGGGACTCCTTCAGCAGAAAAACAGCTCTGGGAAAAAAAAAAAAAGGGTTTGGGGTGCACATTCTGAGTCACCCATTTCTTCTTCCCTTTGTCTCAGACAAGATAGGTGTCAATGTCATGCCGAATGCCAAAGTTCCAGAAACTAGTCAGCCAGCTGTAAGCCTGAAACCCCCCAACCTCCATCGAGACAGAGTCTTACTCTGTAGCTCATCCTCCTGCCTCAGCCTCCCCACTGTGAGGAATTCAAATGGAATACAAACCTAACAAGGAAATAAGAAAACAGTCTATCCTAAGGCCATGGCCTGTGAACACGGATTCCAGTTCCCCAAAGTGAAGGGTTGGGCAAGGAAAGAGGTCACATGGGTTTTCATAGCCTCAGAACAAAGGAAATCATAAATCAGCATATTCAATAAGTACACTCTTCCTGAATTAAAGAGGTGACAGGAATATTAATAAAAAAAATCTTTCCTATAGTGAGCCGATGTTATCTTTCAGTTACCTTTGTTGTAGGGTTGGAGAAGGCTAGAGATCAGTCGAGCCTAATGACGCATTCCATTCCAGGAGGCTTACCTAATAGACACGAGAATCTTACCATACAGAGGTGAAAAGTGAATGGTTGTTTCTCTCCCAAGAGCCTGAAGAAACTTTAGCTCTGGATGTGCAACATTCCAAGCCATGTCAGGCCTCACATGGTGCTTTCTGCCCAGCGGGGACAAGTCCACAGGCTTTTCACAAAGAGGTAGTCTCTTCTGAGACCTTCAGCCTCACACTTGACCTGAATTTCCCACACCCCACAAGGCTTCCAACCCAGCCCAGGTGATAGTGATCCAAGCAACAGGGTGGGTGGGTGGTTCACTGCTCTTGGAGTACCAGCCTTGGGTTTTCAACAGCCAGGGTGCTGCTCTGCCCTATGGGCTGGTCTCCCAAGGGGCTGGTTCCAGAGTCCCAGATTTTTCCTCTCTCGTGGGTGGAAATCATTCTGGACACACAGACTGAACTTCAGGGACACAGCTCTGTGTGGGTCCCTCTACGCCCTGAACTGAAGTGATTTCTATTATTATTCTGAAAGCAGGGTCCCTGAAATGGTATAAATTTCAGACTTCGAAACACACACATCATGCCCATCTGGCAGTACATGCGTGTGACCCCAGGAGGAAGAGTTCAAGACCAGCCTGAGATACATAGCGAGTCCCAGGCTAACCTGGGCTAGACAGCAATATCTTCTTATCCCCCCATCCTGAAAAACAAAAACCTAGATTTGCCCCAGTCAACATTAACTTGAAGAAAGAAGTGGTCAAATGTGCCTTCTCATCACAGAACTTTTCATTATGTCACAAGGTTTTTTGTTGTTGTTGTTTTGTTTTGTTGGTTTTTTTGAGACAGGGTTTCTCTATGTAGCTTTGGAGTGTCCCAGAACTCTGTAGCTCAGGCTTGAACTCACAGAGATCCACCTGTATCTGCCTCCTGAGTGCTGGGATTAAAGGTATGTACCACCACGCCCAGTTAATATCTTACTTATAAACAGATAAGTTACAGGATGGTTTTTCTTCCCTTTTTTTGGCACTATGGAAGGACTTTGGGCCCTTTTCAGTAACATTGTCTTTCTTCCTGCATATTTCTTTGAAGACTGTGGATTATGTAGCAGAGGAAGGATAGCTAGAAGCTACAATCCTCTGAGATGTTAATATAAAATAGGTGTGAAATGAACATTCATTATTATTGCTTTTTTTTGTTTTGTTTTGTTTTTTGAGACCGAGTTTCTCTGTATAGCCTTGGCTGTCCTAGAACTTACTCTGTAGACCAGGCTGACCTCAAACTCACTGAGATCCGCCAGCCTCTGCCTCCCAAGTGCTGGGATTAAAGGCGTGTGCCACCACCGCCCGACTATTATTGCTTCTTTTTTCATTTCCAGTGCCAGGGGTAGAACCCAGGACCAGGCATGGGCTAGACATGCCCTCTACCGTGAGCTAAATGAGCAGTTAGAGGTGCACACTTGAATTTCCTTTTCCTGAAGAGGAAGCTAACAGTAGGTGAGGGTAGAACCAACAGGCCACTGCAGTAGACTTCTAATCCCTGTTGTTTCTAGAAATCCATAGATCTGCTCAGACCCCTGCTCTGCCTCTCATCATGACGTCTCTCATTATCAAATGAGGACAGTCCCAGCAGCGGTCTGACAGGGCTGTTGTGAGGATTCCATGGCACCCACCTGTGAAACCCTTGGCAAAACAAAGTCCAGTAGCAGCCAGAAGCACTGTCAGTCACTGATTCAGATCACCTCTGCATGACTTCAGCTCAGATCACCTCCGCATGACTTCACCTCCGCATGCTTCCTTATGACAGCTGCCATATCTTGAATCTGTATCTCACTTTGCAGATCACTGACCCCAAACACAGTTGTGAGACTCACGTGAGCCACTGGGCGGACAAGCCTCCCTGATGAGTCACGGTCAGGTCTTCTTAGAGTTGGGGTGGTATACTTAAAGAGACCAGGTGGTACCTGGGTTTGTGGTCCTGTAATGCCAGTTACCTGGGAGGCTGGGGCATGAGGATCAAACATTCAGGGCCTTCCTGAGCTACATAGCAAGTATAAGGCTAGCCTGGGGAATTTAGTGAGATTCTGTCTCAAAATAAATAAAATATAGAAAAGAAGAGGGCCGGGGATATAGTGGGTCAGTGGTAGCATGCCTGCCAGCATGTGCAAGACCTTGAGCTCAACCCCTAGTGTAATAAATAATATAATATAATATAATATAATATAATATAATATAATATAATATAATATAATATAATATAATATAAAAAATGAAGCAAAGAAATAGAAAAATATGCAAGAAAGAAAACAGGTTCATGTCGAATGTATTTGTCTGCAGATCTGGCTCTGTCCTAGGAATTATTTAGTCTGGGAAATGTTGCCTAACTTCTTAACCCTCCCTTCATCTGTAGACTGCAGATACCGGTCCTGCCTCTGATCTTGGTGAACATTAAGTGGGGCTGCTTATCAAAGTACCAAACACCTGCCCGGCCTACGGGGTTGAGTTCCGTTTATCTCACTGTCTTTCCTGTCTGATTATTGTGCCCGTTGCTCTACAGAGTGATACAGAACGTCATAGACCACATGCCGAAGCTTCACTACCTGGTGGCTGTGGACGAGTCTGTCCACACCCTGGAAGACATTGTCAAGGTACAGTGGTCTGTGTCCTCATACCCCTGTGACCTGGCTTAAATAGCTCTGCCCCATAAATGACAATTACTGGCTTCCTTGTGCTAACAGGGCTTGGGAACACATAAACCTCAAACTGACTATCTGAGGGGGCTGGAGAGTTGGCTCAGGGGTTAAGAGCTCTGGCTATTCTTCCAGAGGACCCTGGTTCAATCCCCAGCACCCCAGCTCACAGCTGTCTGTAACTCCAGTTCCTGGGGATCTGGCACCCTCATACATATATTAAATAAATAAATCTTTTTAAAAATTTGGTGATCTGTAGCCTCAGCCTAAGTGTTGGGAAATTACTACCCTAATGACCTTTGTCCAGTACGTGCACATGAGAGCAAGAAAGACCACCACTGGGTCCGGGATGAGGGAACAGAGATCATCATAGGTACACAAACGACATCCTGGAATCTGTGGACACTTGGCCTGCAGGACTGATAGAGACCAGATCACCAAACCAGCACTTCAAGGCTCTCTAGACAAAGGTCCAGCCGCTCTAAATAGCACAGCAGCTTCATAGCTTAGCTGGCTGAGCTGCTGTGGCCTCCTTTGACCTTTGCTCGGCTTCTCTGTACTCACCAGTAAGATTCGGATCCAGGATCTTCCTCTGCGGCCTTCCTGCCTTCTTCTCATGTCCCTTTCAGATCGAGTGTCCCCCGCGCCCCCTGTAAAAATATTGTTACATTATTTATTATGCATCAAGGCCTTGATCCCAGGAATTGGGCTTAGGTTGTCAGGCTTGGTGGCAAGTTCATTAACTAACCCCGAGTTGCCTCTCCTCCATGTACCTTCGCTTGTGTGGGTTGCTGTAACAAAATATACATACTAGCAAACTAGAGCTGGGCATGGTGATGCACACCTTTAATTCCAGCACTCAGGGGGCAGAGGTAGATGGATCTCTGTGAGTTCATGCTAGCCTGGTCTACAAAATGAGTTCCAGGATAGCCAAGGTTGTTACCCTGTCTCAGAAAAACAATACACACACACACACACACACACACACACACACACACACACACACACACACACACAAACTAGGCAGGTCAGGAACCATGGGAATATATTGCTCATGGTTCTGGAGGCTACAAAGTTCAGGGTCAAGTGTTGGCAGATTTGGTGGCTGGTGAAGGCCTCCTAGACTGCATACCTGTGTGCACTTCACATAGTAGAAAGAGACAGAGAGGACGGTGGTGGCGCACGCCTTTAATCCCAGACCTTGGGAGGCAGAGGTAGGAGGATCTCTGTGAGTTTGAGGCCAACCTGGTCTACAGAGTGAGATCCAGGACAGGCACCAAAACTACACAGAGAAACCCTGTCTCGAAAAAACACAAACAAACAAAAGAGAGAGACAGAGAGAGAGAGAGAGAGAATTCTCTCGAGATCTTTTATGGGGCCACTCCTTTCTACTCCCTTCCTTCCCCATCATGATCTGGCACCTCTCCTCAGCTCCTCACACCATCACCCTGAGGGTTAAGATTTCAATATGTGAATGGGGAGGGCAGGGGAGGGCAGGGCAGGGAGGGGAGGGCAGGGGAGGGAGGTGGAGAGCACATTCAGACTGCCTAAAGATAAAATTACTGGCAAATTTGTTGATAGAACTAATTGGCTTTTATTCTTAATTCATGAATTTGGGCAATGAGAGCCCCACTGAGCAAAGGTAGAATATCAGGATTTGAAAGTCGTCACCCCTCACACACATACATCCATTTACTCACCCGCACACAGAACAATAGAAAAAAAAGCTGTCTGGGTAAAGGGGTCACCTAAGACCATTGGAAAACACAGATATCTACATTATGATTTGTAATAGTAGCAAAACTACAGTTATGAAATAGCAATGAAAATAATCTTATGGCTGGGGGTCATCACAACATGAGGAACTGTATCAAAGGGTCACAGTATTAGGAAGTTGAGAACCACTGCTCTAAGGGTTAAAACAAAAGGAATTTCCAGTTTTGGGGAGAAAAAAAAGGTCTGCTGTGGGATATGTCCTTCGGGGGATGTGCGCAGCATCCTTCGGTTTCATTTGCTTATGTGACCCTTAGCTTGAGTGACTCCATCTTGTTCTGGTCTGTTGGGGCTAGTGCAGGAGCTCAGTCTAAAACACTGGGCCCATCAAGTGTGTAGTAGACAGTAGCACAGACTCCCTTTGCTGGACTGCAGACACCCATAGGACAGTGGTCTGTGCACAAGTCTGTCTCCTTTCTGGAACTCGATGGACCCCGATGGCAGAGACCAAGCCTTGCTCATCTTTGCTTCCCGGTGTTTTCAGAACCCATCAGTGAGTGGATGCTCTGTGGACTATTTTGAAAATGCCTCTTAGTTTGTGTTCTTGGTAATGTTCACATTCACTTGAGAAGTTTTATGTAAAACCTTGTAAGCAAACCAAATAATACCTCTGTTTCTCCCTAACAGTGCATCAGCAAAAATACTGGCCCTGGAAAAATCCAGAAAGTACCCAGAGAAAATGCTTTTCTAACAAAGGACTTGACAGTCAGTATTTTTTAAAAAAATTATTTTTTTTCAAAAATTGTCTTCCTAAATAATATTGAAGGAGCAGAATGGGGTGGCTGGGGGTTGCGAATTAGAGAGACTGTTTCCCTCTATACTTAATTTTGGGGGGGTTAACCATGAGGTGGCATTATTCAAAAAAGTAGATGCTAGCTGGTATGACAATGAGTGCTTGTAATCCCCACACTCAAGAAGTAGAGATAGATGGATCAAGAGTTCAAAGGCATATCATTAGTTCTAGGCCAGCCTGGGATATGTGAGACCCTGTCTCAAGCAAACAAACAAAATAAAGACAAAACATATACATTAAACAATAAAATGTTTTGAAGGGCTAGGGCCAGGCTTGATGGGCACATACCTGTAACCCCAGCTACTAGGGAGGCTGAGGCAGGAGGATCTGAGTCCATGGCCAGCCTGGGCTACAGAATGAGCTCAATGTTAGCCTGCACAACTAAGTGAAACCCTTAATCAAAATAACAAGCAGAAAGAAGGCTGGGGAATTAACTCAGCGGAGTGCTGCCTCTCATGTGTGAGGCATTGGCAGAAACACCACACAACAGAGTGGAAGTCTCAGAAGGCTAAGGGCAGAGCTGAGTTGTGAAGCGCTTGCTTAGTATAAGCAAGGCCCCCGGATTCCCTTGCCAGCATTGAGGGTGGGGTGGAGGCAAGGATAGGCATGGTAGCATATAAGTGTGATTCTAGACTTGGGGATTGAAAACAGAAGAATCAAGAGTTATCCTTGGCTACATAGTGACTTCAAGGCTAACCTGAGCTAGTGAGTCCCTGTCTTAGGATAGAAAGGAGAAATGAATGAGTGGAAAGGGAAGGGGAGAGAACTGGAAGAGTTCTTAGCTTGGACTTCCAGGGTCTTCCTATTCTTGAGCTGTTTGTCCAACCAAAAGAAAAGCTGCCTGCTCTAAAGGACAGATATGAAGAGCCTTTTTTTGTTTGTTTGTTTGTTTTTGTTTTTCGAGACAGGGTTTCTCTATGTAGCTTTGTGCCTTTCCTGGATCTCACTCTGTAGACCAGACTGGCCTTGAAGTCACAAAGATCCGCCTGCCTCTGCCTTCCGAGTGCTGGGATTAAAGGCATGCGCCACCACGGCCCAGCTTGAAGAGCCTTTAAGAATGCCTCAGGGCAGCTGGGTGGTACTGGCACACACTTTTAATCCCAGCACTCAGAAGGCAGAGGCAGGAGAATCCCCGTGAGTCTGAGGCCAGCCTGGTCTACAAAGCAAGTTCCAGGATAGCCAGAGCTACACAGAGAAACCTTGTCTCAAAAACAAACAAACAAATCCTCAAGGTTGAGGCTGGAGTTCATTGGTAAAAGAGATAAGGTAAGGTCCTGTCTCCCCCCATTGCCCCCCATTCCCACCACCACCCCTCAGCCCCGGGACAAGGACACAGGCATAAATAAACAGCAGGTGTTCTGTAAACACTTAGTGCCGATTGGCTCTCCTGTTCAGTGAATGGACGCTGGCTTTCCTTAACTTAGCGATTTTTGTCTGATGGTAACAAGGCAAACCTCTGCTTTCCCTAACCCTCAGCAACAGCATCTGGACCACTTACTGGTCAACCTGAGGATGGAGGCGCTGTTTGTGAAGGAGAATTTCAACATCCGCTGGGTTGCCCAATCAGGATTTGTGGAGAACATCAGCAGCATCCTCAAAGAGTACAAGCAAAGCCAAGGATTATTGGTAACCATGGCCACTTCCTGTTTTAGATTTCTGATATAAGCAAAGTGAATGGACCTCACCACTGGGACCTCTGTACCCAAAGGAGTGTTTGCATTTTAAAACTTCCACACAGCTTGTTCATGTTCAACACGTCCCTCTAGTCTGCTGTAATCTGCATGTGTATTGCATTAAAACTTGTGAGCCAACCTAGGGGGGACCCTAGGATCGGTTTTACCCAATCACTGGGCAAGCTTTAGTGAAACATTTCACTATTAGGTTAAAAAACAAACAAACAAACAAACAAACAAACAAAAAACAAATTTGTGAGCCAAATTTAAAACAATTTAAAGTGAATACCAATAATAACAAGCTGGTCATATAAACAAATGAGTAGGTTGTTACTCTGTTTTAGTCCTGGATAAGGTCAACCTGCCCCAGGAAGAAGGATTCACTCTTGGTATACTGGCAAAAAGAGGCACACCAACCTGCCCAGTTGATAGCTGGCTGGTGCTGGTGACTACACCAAGCCCATCTAGTGGTCCAGCATTGCCCCTCACCCTGCCTCCGTCACTGTTCGACATCTTGCTACTTACCTATCATCCCTCACCACAAGGGACCAGTCACTTAACTTACTGCACTCAGATCCACTCTTGTGTTCATGCTTATCCCTTCACGGGTGTCCTTGACCATCACAGGGTAGCTGCAAAGTTCTGGGTGAAATTCTGTGATCTTAGGCATATGGACACAGCCAGTGGAAATTCTTTCCATCATTGTGGTTCTAAAATATGACTTGCAAAACACTAGCCCACAGTTTCACAACTCTTTGGACCATTTTGAAAGAAATGATTATTTGTTATTGATATTTTTATTTCTGTTTGATGTAAATATTTACTAACTGCTTATGAATGCCATAGCATCTTCAACATTCAGGCAAGTCTGCTTCCCTTCCTCCCTTCCTTTCTTCCTCTCTTCCTCCCTCCCTCTCACCCTTGTATATTTTGTTTTTAAAACAAGATCTTGTGCTGTAGCCCAGGTAGCCTTGAACTATCTAACCTTCTCAAACAGAAAAAAAGTAGTGTTTTTAACAAAATGATCAGGAGGCAGAAGCAAGATGTTCACAAGTTCACCGCCCAGCGATAGATTTTTTTAAATCAAAATAAATTAACTTTATATTATTGAAGACCAAGTTCAGTCCAGAAACAGTCTAAATGGGCCTGGAGAGATGGCTCAGAGGTTAAGCACACTGGCTGTTCTTCCAGAGGTCCTGAGTTCAATTCCCAGCAACCACATGGTGGCTCACAACCATCTATAATGCCTTCCGGTGCCCTCTTCTGGTGTGCAAGCATACATGCAGGCAGAACACTGTATGCATAATAAATAAATAAATCTTAAAAAAAAAAAAAACAGTCTAAATGATAATGTAGGGCCCTATATACTGGACCATTAATTCTTGTGTCTTCGTAAGAATGGTCAAGGACAAATAAAACCGGTGGCATGTAAAGCCTAGGCACCCTTAGGCATTCCTGGGCACATATTTTCTCTTTCTCTCCCTATTTCTTTTTTATTTATTTGTTTTCAGACAGGATCTCACATAACACACTCTGGACTCTCCCTCATTATGTGATTGAGCCTGGCCTTGACCTCTTGATTATCTTGCCTCCACGTCCCAAATGCTGGGATGACTGGCACAAACCATCACACCCACTTCCTGAGCATGGCCCAGGTCAGAGCAGAGATGCCATTACATCCTCATGGAGTGAATGACTCTGAGCCACCCGAATAGGAGGCAGACACTTTCGGATGATGAGGTAGCGACCACAGTGCAGTGGCAGGCCGTGGAAGCAAAACATCTGGAGTCGGGTTGAGTTGCTGAAGTCAGACAACAGGGTCCAGAGACACTGAAAAGAACACAGTCCTGGAATAGCACCCCTTCTAGCCCCGAGCCCCAAGACATGTGTGTTCTCTGTTCTTTTTTAGCCGATCAAGATCTGCATCCTTGGTCCTCCTGCTGTGGGAAAATCCAGCATCGCCGAAGAATTAGCCAAGTACTACAAACTACATCACATCAAAATAAAGGATGTGATTTCCGAAGCCATAGCCAAACTGGTAACACGTCCAGCTACTTCTCTGATACTCTTTCCGTTCACAGAATGTGTTCCTGAGTAATAAGCAAGTGACTAACTCGGAATGTCAAAGAAATTGATTATTTTAATTGGATTTTGTTGCTGGTCCCAGTTATGAAAATGGAGAACCCTGTAGGGCCCTCTGTCTTCTGTATGATGGAGGTGGTTATAGGCCTGTCCTTGGAGTTCTGCCTCAAGTCTCTCCCAAAGTACATCTTATCTTCTCTCTGCTGGCTAAAATATTTTAGGTTAGCTTTATTTTGTTTTTAATCTTATTGTATTTTCTCTGTCTAGTATCAGGCTATTTACTATCTTTTTTTTTTTTTAAGTAATTTTGTTAGGGATGGTAGAAAACACTATATGTTTCCACAAATAGTTATGAAAGGTCATTTTGGGGACTGCTAGAGATCAAACCCAGGGCTTTGTACACGCTAAGCATGTGATGTACCACTCAGCTACACCCTTAGTCTAAAAAAAAAATCTTGATTTTTATAAAATGTGTTTCTGTCAAGTAAGGTACAATCTCGGTGCTGGAAAGATAGGCCAGTAGTTAAGAACACTTGCTCATAACCTCTTGTAACTCCAGCTCCAGGGGATTTAATGCCCTCTTCGGCCTCCATGGGTTCTGCGCTCATGTGCATGAACCTACACACAGACACACTCATATACATATAATTGAAAGTGGTCGTGCAAGCCTTTAATATCAGCACTTTGGAGGCAGAGGCAGGAGGATCTTTGAGTTCCAGGATAGCCTGGTCTACAGAGTGAGTTCCAGATCAGCCAGGGCTACACAGAGAAAGCCTGCCTTGAAAAACAACAACAACAACAAAAATGGTGGTGCATGCCTTAATACCGTATGATGGGGGAAGCAAAGACAGGTGGCTCTCTTCGAGTTCAAGGCCAGCCTGATCTACATAGGGAGTTCCAGGTCAGCCAGGGCTGGATAGTGAGACCCTGCCTCAAATTAAAAAAATAATTGAAAAAAAAAGGCATAATCTAGTGCCTTGGAGAATTGCTGACTCCCAGGCAGTTGTGGAGTTAACACCGAATATACTGCTGTTCTCCTAAAAGTAGAGTTAAGGAAAGCCTTATCCATCGTGGTAGATGCACATGTCGTGCAGACTTTTGCATGATGTCTGTTACTAGGTTACTAGGTACACTCCCAACTTAGACCTTTTCCAGGATCACTAGCCAGTCTGTTAGCGACACACTCGTCGGTGTTGGGCATGGTCAACTTGATTTTCCTTGTGGCGTACAGGAGGCGATTGTTGCACCCAAGGAGGCAGTGGAAGGAGAAGAGGAAGGTGAAGAGGAGGAGGAAGAAGAGAATGTGGAGGATGCCCAGGAGCTCTTGGATGGCATCAAGGACAGCATGGAGCAGAACGCAGGTGATGCACAGATAGCCAATGGTGTAGCTAGAGTTTTCCGCCTTGCCCACAGTCAGGACAAATCTTTGTCACCCGCCAGTCCCACAGCCGCTCAGACCCAACAAAGTTTACTCAGGCTTTAAGTGGAAACTCTTGCC